CCAAACGCCGTCTCAAGCACGCAGGTGACGACTGCCAACACATGGCGGCCCCGCTACCGGGGTCCTTTTGTGAACTAGTGGAACGGGAGGTTGCCTGTGGACTCCAGGAGTACCATATATTTCATACTGTGCTGAATTTAAATTGACTGAAGTTCCTCAACGGCAACCCAGACAAGCATAAGCGTTTGTCAAAAAATATCAAAAAAGAACAGGGCGCTCGATATGCTTGCAATATGTCATGCCCATGCAAGCGCCTTTTCTGTGTGCACACATGTCCTTCATGCACGGTTGGCGGTGGCAGGTGTATGGAGGCGAATCAGTTGAGAACTGAATCGGTAAACAACGAATTTCTCTGAGAAGTGCAAGGGTGGGGAGGGGGGGGGGGCATGGTGGATGGGGGGCCCATGGAATGAAAGGGGGGTGAGGGAAGGGAGTGGGGGCAAGGCTGGGAAGGAATTTCAGTGCAACTTATCAAAAACATGGGAGCTGCAGTAGGCCTCCCCGCCCTTAGACAGGGTGGCGTGACATGCCTGGCCGACATCCCTCGGAGCTGCAGGTTAGATTGACACGGAAGGTCTATTTCTTGGCTGGGTGCTCTTTCGGTCCCATTCCTGAACAAGGTGTATGGTGGTTTGTCATATAGGCTCAAACCTTAAACTGTCGATCTTTAAGCCTAAAGCCATCTAAAGCCTATCATTGAAAACTTTTAGCTATGCAAGTAAAAGCAACAAACAACAGGAGCAAGAGCAAGAGAAGCAAGCGCCAGCCCAGTGGGCCAAATAGCCGCGAATGGTGATTAAAGACTACAATCCAGCAGGGGAACAGGCATGAATAATGGCAAGCAACAGTAACTGCCACAATGAAGCAGGGGCAGAGCAGAAGAAGGACAAGAGCTAGGCCAAGGGGCCAAATAGGGGCGAAGGGCGGCAAGAAAAAGGCAGGAGAAATAGCAGCAGAAGGACAAGTGCCAGCCCACAATAATGCAGGGAGGTGGCAAGTGAGTGCTGCAACAAAGAGCAGGAAAAAGGAGAGCCACAGATCAACAAAACCGGAAATTCTTAAGGCCAACAGCTTGCCATCGCACCCTTGAAGCACGAGAAATGCATATGGCATGGGTTACCTGAGAGAGTAGAGCAGGGAGGTCAAGAAAGATCGGCCCCATAGCACACAAAGGCGTGCCGAAGCCAAAACAAGGCACAGCGCCCAGTCATGCCGAAAGACGAAGAGAAATGACAGAGCCAGGGCAGTAGGAGCGGAGCGGCCAAAGGCCCAGCAAGCAGGGGGAGGAGAAGTGGCAGGGGACACGTGCAGAGCAGGCCGAGGAGCATGGGAGCAGGAGTAGGAGGAGATGCAGAGCAAGGGGCAGGAAGAAGAAAAAGAGGCACAGCCAGAGCAAGGCAGCATGGGGAGAGTGCTCATTGATGCGGGGGACTAAGGAACTCTGTTAACCAGAAGGCTACATGTTCTATTCCGGTGTTTATCCAGCCTCCCAAAAACCTTGATCTCTCCACATGTGTGCCCAGGGTAATCTGCATCTTTTTGCTTAGTTGCATGGCTAGAAAGCAATTGCATAGGTTTAGGTGTACCCAGCTTTCGTAGTCTGTCGAGAATTATTTGGCAACATGGGGGTGGGATGTTTTTGGGCATGTGTAAGGTCATGATCATGCTTCATGTGGCATGTATTAGGTTAGGCACAACGGTGCCCAACCCTATTGTACGGATCATGTTGTTTGCAAATGGGAGGGGCTGCGCCCCGCCCCAAACTCCGCCGCTGTTTTAGTGCCATCCATGCTTGGAATCAAACAGAAGCATCATGCCATCACCATGTTTGCACGGAGGGAGGGCTGTCATTTTGTCGTTTACAACGTTTGAAGCATTCCAAGACCAGCAGCAGCTGGCTGTACTTTAGGGCATTTGAAGCATTCAAAGACCAGCAAACTCAGTAACTTGCAGAATTTTTTATGTTCCAAAAGCATCAAATGCTGTAAATTACAGCTTGTGAAACATTGCACGACCAGCAGATACTGAAATGGCTGTGATTTACAGCCTGTGTGACGCTCCAAGACCAGCATATGTTGTAAATGACAGCATGTAAAGTTTTCCAAGACTGGCACACATTGTCAATTACAGCATTTGAAATATTCCAAGACCAGCAGACACTGTAATTTACAGCGTTTGAAGCGTTCCAAGGCCAGCAAACGCTATGATTTACAGCGGTTGCAGCGTTCCAAAACCAGGACATGCCGTGATCTGCAACATTTTAGATGTTCCAGGTCCAGTAAACGGTGTAATTTGCAGTATTTTACAGCGGTTGAAGCGTTCAAAGACTAAAAAGGAGCGAGCCGCAGTTTTGCGAAAAGAAATCCCGAGCCACACTCTTGCAAAATAAAAGCCCTTCCGCCATTACTGTGATGCGCGTCCATTCCACTTGGTGGCAGTTCAGGGAAGGGAGACTTCTATAGTTAATTCTGACTTCAAAGCAGGAGCTGCAATCAGGTGGCCATCTGCATTTGAAATATCCAGCTTCCTGTGTGGGCACCTCCCTGCAAAGATGACACGGGGGGACCAACCAGCCCATATGAAACAATCAGGGATTGTGAAATTGTTTCTGCATGGAACCCAATGAAACTCATGGGAGCTTGTTTTTGAAATAGATAAGATGTGCTGGTTACAACCATGATGTTGAAGATATCACCCAAAAACGGCAATAGGAATGTTCAACATATGAGCTTAAGTTTTTATGTTTGTAGCCTGTAGCCTTTAAAGCCAGGTAAGAATGCTTGTTTTCACCGAAAAGCACGGGCCCGTGTTCCGACGCAAACTGGACAACCACCCCCGGTGCACTGCTTACCATGGACTCATATGGCTTTGGATTTAGGGAGGCATCACTCTCGCCTGAGGCTGACGCAAACGGAGCTTCCAACAATATCAGCTTGCAAAAGACAGTGAGATGCGGCCATCCCCACGGGCAATGCAACTAATCGGCACGGGACGAACTGGACCTAAATGTTGAGATCGTTTTAATAAACTATACCCCCCCGGAATTCCGGGCGGACCAATCTCGAAACAAAAGTCTGGGAAATTGGGGTTTTATTAAACCACTGTGGGCCCTGGGCTCTCTCAAATAATGATGTAAACAGAAAATTATCAAGAATGCTTTCTTTAGAAAAAGAGATGATGAGAATCAGGAAGCAACATCTGGGGTGACTTTTTGTTATTGCCACCCCTTTATTCATATGATTTGGGGGTTGGCAGTGGGCAGCCTTTGCAGATTTGTTTGGGATTGCATTTAAAGCCAGTCCAGCAAGAGATCAATCCTTTCTGGCATCCCTGCAGCTTAGGAATTTGGAGGTGTGAATCTACTTTGGCCATTGGCTGGCTTGGTCGTTAAGAAAAGTAATAGAAGCTCAATTCAAGAACGGTTTTGCTGCTACATGCTCATGGCGTGCATTTGCTCCGGTGAACTAAGGCCCGTGCTCTTTCGAATTGAAGTAATTTCTGCACGTGAGCAAGCAGAAGAACTCTTCATGAGCCTTCTTTTGCTTTGACTTCAATTGCGAGCCATGATGTTTGCAGATGTTTAGGCCGGGAATTTCCATTATCATCATCACCCCCTTTAGAATTTTTGATGCTTACATGAATGGATGTTGTAACTTTTTCTGCGAAAGCCTGAGCACCGTATTGTTGAGATGGAAAGGTCAAAAGTCTGCCCGGAATGAAATACCGCGAGCAGAGCACTGAAGGTCAAATCCCGTGACTGAAGTGCGCTTAATGGAGTTCTCGGCGTCGTTTGCTTAGGAGTAACATTAAGTGCTTGGAACTCTGGGTTTGAACATGTGTGTACGTGTAGCAGTGTAGCACCGGCATAAAATGGTGCCAACTGACTCCAAGGCTTGGTCCCAAAGGCCGTGATGAATGAAACCTGCACGACGACCGATTTTGCCATGGAGCTTGCAAATTGCTGTGACAGCCAAGAAAACTCTAGGGCTTCGAGCGTTGCTCGGGAAAGCCAGCGCAGGATTCTTCAGCCAGTGTGGAAATGACGGATGTTGGCCAAACTTTTTATTAAGCGGCCAGATCCTTTCATCGTTGGCAGACAGAAGCAGGCAGGTTTGCAGGTCTTGAAGCTTGACTGGCAGCTCGCATGGCGCTTATCGCATGTTGGCGCGTTCGCTGATGATTCATGCCCTGGAATGCCCTTGAACCCCCCCCCTCCAAAAAAAAATATGTACATGTCCACCTGCGCATGGTAGATGGCATTGGGCTGGGTGCTCGACCTCGGCCGGCCACCTTTTGAATTTAACCTTCCGCTGACAGTAGACTGGACAAAGAGGTAGCCTCCTGGCGAAACACTGGCTTTGGTGAATGAGAGTTGTTGCAAAGAAGGCTTCTGAAGGTTGAGGGATTGAAGAGACATATGTTGAGACTGGAGTCTGGCAAGCTGGCATCTCATGCGTTTGGAACCGCCCGGAAGATGTGCCGATGGCTGGGAGCTCATTGCTGGAAAAGTGTAGGCGGTAACTCCTGGACACCAAAAGACCCCTAAATTTGCGAGTTTGCTCAAAGCCTCCCCGCAACACTCTGAAGCCTCTAAGCGAGCGCTGCTTTCGAAAGAATTTACATTTGAAAACATGTTTCTGAAGTGTTTTGTTTTAATTCGGCAGCACCTTTCAAGGTCCACTATGAACAGAGCCGCCAAAGAAGCGAAACGCCGTACTCGTTCGGAAGCCTTTTTTCACAAAATTGCGTTTTATGGTTTTCAGGCCGGGTGGCTGGGGGATGGGGGCGTATGCAATCGATAGCATTCGAATGTGGATCACGACGAACAATTTGCGATTCCGGGCAAGGGCATAGTCAAGACACATCTGTGCGACGCCGCAGCTGCCCCTGGGCGAGTCTTGCCGGCCGTAAGTATAGCGTTTTTGCTTGATTCGCATCGAAACAGCATGACTGGAGTGACATGCATGGCTCGACGCCGCGTTGTCCCAGTTGAAGCCCAGGTTCATGGACACATCCGAGAAAGTTCTGGCAAGAACCCCTGCAGTTGATGCTGGCACTCAAAGGCAAGGTGTTTGCTCGCAACCTTGTCATACAGACTTAATCCGCCTGTGCCGAAGAAGTCCCTTCGACTTCCAGCAGTTGAATCTGCTGGCTGAATCTGATGCCAAAGCCCTACACTGCATGGGGATGAGAAGGAGAAGAGTGCGAGCGATGGAGAATGCTACACCGCTACGCCCTGAGGGAGAGGAACAGCACACTGCATGGGTTACAGCGGATGCTGTTGGCCCATCTGGCTCAACTTGGCATTTTTCGAGGGCGGCTGCTGCAAGCTCCGCTTCCTTGCAAGTCCTGGCTCTGTGTGACAGGTACCTTCATCGCGCCTGAAGGTGTTGTCAGTGTGGGGCTGAGTAAGTTGACCTTGACCTGAGCAGGCAGCTAGCGCTTCGCTGAGCCTCTGAGCGGGTTTGCTGTTGATCAGGTCGTGTGTGCACCCACTTGGGCCAAGCCTTCGGCCCTTGCTGCCGCTTTTGCGAAGCTGGAAGGTACCTGATTTGACAAGTGTCAGGGCGTGAGCTCGTTTTCGTGTTGCGTTTGCAGGTCAGAACGGAGGCGCTCCATCAATGTCCAGCGAACGCGGGTGGGAAGTGTTGTGCCCGCTAGAATGAGGCTTTAGTGGATATATTTCATGACATTCAGGAAAGCAAAGCAAAGCCAGAGCGGGTGGACCGGGATGCTTTATACGAGTCCAGGCAGGATTTATGTCTCCATGTTGAAGAGGCCTGTTGAGTTTGCAGATGTTTGTAGGCTGCTGGAGCTTCAGCAGCGACGCGACACAGCTCCCCGCACATTGGCCGGAATGGCATCCCGCATGCGGGACTCTCAGCTCGCAAGCGTCACTCACTTGATATCGCGTCTCACGTGTATGCCGAGCTTTACGGCCGAGGCTTGAGAAGCTGCAGGCGTTTCAGGCTGCAGACTCCCTTCCTGAAGCGCTGTTGCAGAAAAAGGCTGCGTTGCCCCTCAGGTTCGACAGGTCTTGTTTGTCCTGTTGAACGCAGGTACTGCGGATTGGAACCATGTGCTCTGGCACCGATGCTCCCATGCTGGTTGCGAGGCCTTGCGATGTGTACATGCACAGCTGTTGCATGCTGTTGCATAAAGCCGCTCTATTTGTGAGATTTCTTTTGGCTTTGCCCTCAGGGCCCTGGAACGCGCTCTGCGTCCGCTTGGATCAAAGCTGGGATTCCAGCACGCTTGGCAGCCAAGTCATGTGTTCAATCACTTGGACGCTTCGCCAACTTAGTCACTGTAAACTGTACAGTAAAAGTGGGAGGGTTGGAGCTGAGCATCGAAGACACTTGCTGGCATTGGTGACTGCTGAAAAGCTTCCAGGCAGCTTTGCGGAAAATCTTCTCAGGGTTCCAGGCTCTCTGTCTGGCAAGGCTTGGGGGGGGGGGGGGGGGGGNNGGGCGGCCAAAAAATGATGCTTCAGGCTCCTCTGTGTACAGCATGATTTCAAGATATCGCAAGATGTTACCCAAGAAGCTGTCATGAAAGACCTGTGGAAGACCACGTTTCATCTGGCTCTGTGCCATGCCTATGTATAACCCCTATATGATCCATTATGGTGGTTTCCATTTTC